TTAAGGGCATTATCAGGCAATAGCAATGCTGGCTCAACTATTTTATTGAGGGTTAAAAAAACAGGGAGGCGTTTGTATCGAGTGCTTGGTGGAGAAAGGTTTTTGTGTTGAATGGTGTCAGTACCATGTCATCTTGTAAAAATTTAATTCTCATTATTTTAAGGTTCATGAACAGTCTAGGAAGCATCTTCTCCTTCATCTCTAAAGATGCAGTCAGTAAAATCCAGATCATGATCAACCACCGTAACGGCAACAATGGGGCGGAGTATGTCACCATCCAGTCCATGGTAAAGTATGAGCTTGACAATAAACTGGTGGACCTCACCAAGTCGGGCAATTTTCCAGAATCTGGCTGCCGCACAATTCTAAGGCTGCACCGAGCCCTGAGGTGGCTGGAGCTTTTCCTCGAGCGGCTGCGGACGAGCACCGAAGATGGCAAGACTTCTGTGATGTGTGCAGATGCTTACAATGAGTCTCTGGCTCACCACCATTCCTGGCTCATCCGTGCAGCTGCTGGTATGGCTTTCTGTACCCTCCCTGGGCGTTCTACTTTTTTTGAGGTGATGAACGTGGGGCCCCCGGAGCAGGTTGTTGCCATGCTGGGGGATGCCCTGCCCCTCATCTCAGAAGTATATCAGATCACTGAGGACTTGTATACCGAATACAATCTACTGAACCTGCCCTAGCAGGGAGATGACATCGCCCTGACTTTTAATTGGTGCAGATTCATATTTGATCTCAGGCCAAGAACGTAATACTACAGGTTTTTATTTTTTTGGGTGGGGTATGGGAGCGGCAAGTACTGTAGCACAGACTTTCTGCAAAGTCTAAAGTCTGTACAAGATCAGATTGTTGCTCTGTTGGAGGGTTAATTAACCCTTTGGTGTTTACTTGGCCAGAATCCTTTGAAAACTTCTATAACACAGATGTTGTAACCTTACGAACAACAAACTAGGATGTACTGCTTTTCAAATCCCCTCCCTCCTTTTCCTGTTTGCATTTTGCTCTGTGGGTGTAGCAGAATATTAATGCATTTTTATATGCGAACAAATAATTTGACTATATAGGGGTTGCAAGGGAGTAGATGTCATTGTTGTATGTTTTCTGTTCCTCATCTTCTTGCTTTGTCCAGTTTCTTCCGTTGACCCAAAGACATGATATTCAGCCGAATTGTGAGTGTAAATTGTCTTTACTACGTAGTTATGATAATGATGTCATTTTATGTGCCCTGTGATGGACTGGTGTTATGTCCAAGATGTAGAAACACTGCTTAACACTATATGCTTACTGTATATTAAAAATATTAAAAATACATATGTGCGTCTGTCCAAGTGGGATAATGGTAATTTATGAAAAAAGCTTAATTTATTAATTTTATTTTGGTATATTTCATTTTTTTTTAGTTGGTGCCATGTACTAAAATTAGAGTATATATTCATTGTATGGCTCACATGTATAACCTGTTAAAATAATAAAAAAATAATACTAGAACTATCCAGGTGTCAGATTACTTTTATTCATCGTTTGGAATAATTATTCAAATGTAAGACAATGTTCCTTCTGCTTCTGAAGTATTGTATTTTCATTTAAACGTTTAGTGCCTCGGGGACTTGGTGCTCCATTCAACAAATTAGTTTGACATGCAGGTGTAGGCTTGTTGGTACCTGGTGTTTACAGATCCTATGCTAGCCTTTCTCATCCCCCAAATAGCCACCTGCTGGAAAGCTGAATTTTATATTTTTTCATAGCTGACATTTATAAAGAGATGCAAGTGCCTTGTCAAGATCAAAGCGAGACAGTTAACCTGGTCCGGAGTAGATTTTTTTGATTTCCCTAAGTTACCTTGGTAGCTCAGTGGGGATTCATTCAGTTGATGGAACGGAACTCCCACTAAAATGAGCCAGACTTGTCGAACTAAGTCAGACTTTTCCTTAATCCTGCTTTGTAGAACACCCCCCTGCTTTATGTAATACCCCCGGTATTATTGTTGAAAGAATGTCATCAAATGTAATGAAAATGATCAAATATGCCATAACAAAAATAAACTAAATGCCGAACTTTGCAAAACATCTGCGTTTCACATACGCTCCTCTAAACAGTCCCAGATTTTTTTTTTTTATCAATCTGAACATATCTTTTATTTACAGCGGTTGGCTCAGGTATAAAGCACACAATTTGTTCGTCTCCATACCAGCTTATGTCTTCCGTTGGGCTGGGCCAGAAGAATTTATTAATTCCATTCATGTGCATACACTTGACTTTGATGTCGTGCTCCTCCACTTAGACAATGATGCCAGGATAAAGATCTGCATTGTAAATTACCACACACCACTGGCCAGTGTGGTCTTCACTGATTACTTCTGGCCGGAGTAAAGAAGGAGCAGACATTTCAGTGGGGTGGGCTTCTTGATGGCTTTCACTTATTGGTGGTCACAGTGACCTAGCCTGCCCTGAGCTGTACTCCACGCCTTGCTTGCCTTTCTCGCCATCTTTTTCTTTCAAGCAGTTTCTGTGCCTCTGATCTCCTTTTAGTTTTCTCTTATTTCCTTTCTTAATGTCTCTCTTGTATGTCTTGCTTTTTTTGCCAGGTAAGACGTTCTGCGTTCCATATCTTCATCTCTACGTCACCTGTACAGTCTCTGACTCTCAGCTGCACTCTTTCTGGCCATAGCTAATAACAACAGTAACATTGTTACATTGTTAGGCAAGGAGTAGCCGTGGCACAGGCAAAGACCATCCTGAGACATCGGGACATAGTGGGCCAAGTCCAAATTGGCACAGGGGGCCTAGGACTGGGAACAACAACACCCACATGGCAGAAGTCTATACCAGTAGAACGCCGGCGCCTGGTGATAGAGGAGGTGCGACACCAGGAGGAAGTGGGCAGGTGTGCTAGGGTCGTGTCCCAAGCCAAGCAAGGCCGCTGGATGAAGTGGGATGGCGTGGAGAGGAGAAAGATAACCTGGAGCGAGCTGTGGAACATGGAGTCTAATATGTTGAGCTTTACCATCAGAGCCACATATGATGTCCTGCCTTCTCCAACAAACTTAAATCTTTGGTTTGGAGAGGATCTGGCCTGTCTCCAGTGTGCTGCCCCTAAAACACATCATGGTGGGTTGTAAGATGAGCCTTACCCAAGGCAGATACACCTGGCGCCACAACCAAGTGCTGAGGTGCTTGGCAGCTGCACTAGAGGTCAAGAGGGCGGCCACCAATGCTATGCCTGTGTAAATCGGAACTGCCTTTTGGCTACAGACATCTTTCGTCCGGGAGGGGGAGAAACAGCAGGCCAAAAGAGCATCTCCAGACTCAGTTCCGCTGAATGCAGCCCGAGATTGGGAAATGCAGGTGGACCTAAATCAGAGGCTCACTTTCCTGCCTGAAATCGCAGCAACTAACCTGCGGCCAGACCTGGTCCTTTGGTCCAAATCCTGTCGACGTGTCTTCATTGTGGAGCTGACAGTCCCATGGGAGGAAGCAATCGATGAGGCATTCAAAAGGAAAAATATGCGATATGCAAACCTGGCAGCTGAAGCAGAGGACCGGGGTTGGAAAGTATTTGTGCGGCCAGTGAGGGTGGGTTGCAGGGGCTTTGTAGCTAGTTCCACTACAAGGCTACTGAAGGAGGTGGGATAGAGGGCAGGCTCAGCGGAAGACCATCAAGGAGCTTGCAGATACTGCCATAAGAAGCAGCCATTGGCTGTGGCTAAAGCGGAAGGAGACAGGCTGGGCTACTCGTGGGGCCTCCAGTGCGGCACACACCCAGGTCTGATCGGCCTGTGGTGGGCCGGCCTCGACCGATGGTGTATGGTGATAAATGGCCGAAACACCCAATGACCCCGGGGTACACAACTGACATCAAATGAAAACCCATGAGGTCACCTACCTAAGAGGAAATCGCCATACAGTACTGATCATCAAGGGATTTTAACACCTAGTCCTAGTAGACATATTATCAAAATGGCAAAATTAACAAACAAAATCAAAATATTAAGAAACAAAATTATTAACAAAATTAGCATTTTAAGTGTACTGATGATTCGTTTTATTAACATTGGTCACTTGTATTATACGGACATAGTGTGACACCAGTGACATTCTGATTAAAAATTATTATTTTTTTATTTTTAAATGGCTGCCCTATGGGGGGTGGTAACCATGTGTAACTATTTAATGTAATTAATATAAAAGATCATGGGGTTACTCTAATAAAATTTCAGTTACCCAGCCCTTACAGCACATAACACCAGTAACATGCAGAAGTTATATGCTGCATGAGAAACAACATCATCAATAAATTAATTAAATAAAATGAGCAAGTATGGACTCACCCTCTCAGTCCTTGACATGACTTCCATATGTTGACCCTTGACCCAAGGAGCGAGAACTTTTATGTTAAAATGTAATATAAGAATCCCAACAACACCAGTGACAAAAATCTGAGACAAATATATATATATTTTAATAAATTACATAATTTATTAATTTATTAAAATAGAAATGTGTTAGTTGGCAATATAATTTACGATTAAAGTCACAAAAAAAATTGTGATTTTTTTTTTGTTGTTTGTTTAAGTAGAGGTCCCTGACAAAGTCAAAAAGCCTTGATGCAGTAAACAAATTTATGTGGTGCTTTTATGCATTTAAAACTTACAAACGGGTCGGTGCCGACCCTAACACCAGAGGAAGTTTAAGTTCCGTTTAGAAATGTCGTACAAAACTTGTTAAAATAAGGAAATTACGGTATTTATTTCTTATTTATAACAGTATACAGACGCTTTTCTCTAAGGCGAATAGCGATTTGGGCAAGATACTCAAAGACCCGCCAATTAACATCTAGCTTTGTGCTGACGTACCACCTGTGTTGCCGAGGCAACATAACTGTGTTGGTAACCTGGTTGACGCCAAAAGCTCCTAACAGGACCCTTCATAGTCTACGACAAATCATCGTCACTGGCATAAATTTGGACTCTAGTGCGCACCAGACATGTAAGCTATCATACAATAATCACTATATATGTATACAGATATGTGGAGATAATTCAGCTTGTTATTTATTTACTTTTAAAATGCAATAGTTTTTCAGCTTCGTACGCTACTACTTAGGTGGCACCGAGGAAACAGTTTTCAACTTTATATATCAGCGATGTCAGTACGTTCGTCATTTTCTGTCCTATCACACCAAATATGGCATAAATCGCTTTGTTTATTTGGAATTGTGTCGGGATTGAATTCGCAAACGAAGTTGCTTTTCAAAATATCCACTTTAAATTTCAACATTCAGCGAAACTGTCAGCTAGGCCGAGTAAATTTGTCTCTTGAATTTGAGGGATAAAACATAATTTATCTAGCAGATAGCTACAGCACGATCGACGTGCTGATTACATTTTGGGGAATTGCGTAGCACTGATTTCTCAAGATAAGGCGGTCAAATAGCATGTTTGCATATTTAATGTTAATGTTTTTACTATTAAAATCATGCCAAATATTTCCATATAAACAGTAGTTTAATAATAAAAAAACTTTTCTTGAAATAATATAATATAAATAACTTTTATTATACTAATATGTTGACTGCCTACTACGTTGGCTTCAAGATAGGTCTATAGTCTGATAAACCTACAAATGTAAGAGCAAGTGGGAGGTTTACATGGAAATAGTATGTACAGGCTCCAGGCCTCCGTGCGATCCTAACCAGGATAAATGATTAGAAGGTGGATGGATTTATGGAGTATTTTGGATCTGTAGGTGATTGTCAACTGCAGAATTGTATCAGGAAATATAGCTCTTACATGGTATGATTTGTATAATTCCTTTTCTTGTATTATACAGTATATAGGCCATATATACTTCCAACAGTCAGGTAACATTTGATTACTACATGTACAATATAATAATCTATACCACAAGTGTGACTGCTGGAGTGTGGCATGAGTAAATGGTGTCCTGTAGTTGTGTTCTGGGCATACAGCAACTTTGGATATAACAGACTTTGAATATAACGGACTGTTTTGTCAGATCCCTTAAAGTCCATTATAACGGGATTGTACTGTAGTAGGTTTATTGCATGTTCTGTGCTTTAACTCAGTGGTGTTTGTGAGAAATTCCACCTGATGCTTTTTCATCTAGGAAAATGAGATGGCAGCTGTACTGAAAACCATTTCTGAGTAAAATCCTGCCGAAACTCTATCACATTGGCTGAGAACACTGTCATACATCATGCATGTTACAAGGCCTAAATCTTCCAAAGGGCGCTGCAGGCCAGCTGTGAGTCATGCCTATAGTGTGGGAGGGGTCTCATACCACAATGTGCCTGGTCTTCCACGAACCTCCTCCTTGGCACATGAAAAAGCAAGCAGCTCCGTACACCTTCTGTCCCACTCTCACTCTCTCCTGAAGCAGACCAGTGTGGTGAGTGTTGATGAAGTCACTGAGCTGCTGCAGAACACCCCCACCCCGCCTGCACTGACCCTCAACAGATACAGAGTGCTGCCATCCATTGAGAAGAGACATACCTCTGGAGACATGCCTTTCCAGGGAATGGAGGAGAAGGCCTCCAGGCTAAGCCGATCCGACCACCTCTTCAAGAAGGGCCGTCACCACCACTGGCAGCAGGCCATTCCCCCTTCCCGTAGTCACCCAGAGATTTCTAACTCTTCTGAAGCACAGTGTGGTGTAGTCACAGAGCCCTCAGACTTGGCTGCATTGCCTCTGGAGACTCCTGATGGGATCTACGGGGGCTTACTGCTGGCTATCCGATCTCCAAGTGGGAGGAGGTTCCAACAACATTTTCATTCCTCAGAAACATTGCAAACAGTTCTAGCTGCTGCAGAAGCTAGATATGGCACAAAATATGAGGACAGCATCATTGAGACCATGGATGTGCCCCGGATGAGCTTCACTGATCTCACACAGACTTTAGCCGAAAGTGGCATCCGGAACAGGTCCGTTGTCTGCATCACTCAAGAGTACAGCTCCACAGATAGCTTATAAAGTCAAGAAAATATCACATTAAACGTTATATGTAGAAAGCCTATTAAATGTCTTATGAAGAACAACTTACAAGCAGCTCGTCTGCGGTTGATATACTTTAATTTCTCGTTTAGGCTAATAGTATATGTATACATTGTGAATGGTATAACCTCGCTGTCTGATGAAAATCATGCATGTCCACTTTTTGCTATAGATATAATACGGCCAATCTCCTGTCTACTGATAGCGTTTGACACCTAATTGACCTATAAAAACATGTTTTATGAAGTCATCTGTTTAATATTTGTTTGTACTAGTTAACGTTTCTATTCATGGTGGTTTGTATGGATTACTTTATATTGCTAATTGTACCAACTTAACATTGATAGCTAGATAGCTAACATCATTGTTTATTAATGTATATATAAAGTGAGAGTTTGTATATTGTTGACATTGACATATTTGTGTCACTGACAATCCACAGAAGAAAATTTAAGAGAAACTACTCACTGATGGCTGTGTAAAGACAGGTTTGTTTCAGGTACTGAGGACGTCTCACTATGTTGATTTAGGTTTATTTTGTAAAGGAGTTTTTGAGAAAATGTATTTTTTTCATGCTTCTGAAATAATGGATTTTTTGAGATATGTGTTTTTCATCAGACAGTGCCAATATTTTAAGTTTCAAAGCCTTATAGGAATGCAGGTATCTTGGTCATTGACTCAACTGCTCTGCAGCTGCTGACCAAGTGGTTGTAATTTAAAATTAAAGTCTTGATCATCATCCACAGTAAAAAGACACCATAAGTCTTTTGTTTTCAGCAAATGTCTAAAAATGTAGTCATTACCAAAAACCCACCATTAAATAACAAATGACAGAATATTTGCTTGTTTTTTCATGATCATGGACAAACAGAAATGGAAAATAACTCATGATCAATCCAGGTTAAAATGGCATTTTCGTTAAATATGTTTACGTTTAGGCCATTTTAGACTCCCATAAGCTTAGTGAACGTGGTTCAGTATGCATGTCCTCCTTGTGATGTGTAGGCCAACTGAAATGTGTAAATTGTACATAGTGTGTGTTCCCAGCAATGAACTGTCACCCCATCCAGGGTACTCCCTGACTTGTACTCTCTGCTGCCTGAGGCAGGCTTTAATGTCCCCCCCCAACAGATGAAAAATCTTCCAAAATACCTAGGTTAATTATATTTTCACCACATAAACCTTAAATAATATAAACCAAAGACTTAATTACAGCTATTAAAAGCCAGTTGTAAGCTTCTATAACCAGGGACTGACATAACTGGGACGCAAGTACACATTCACCTTTAAAATCAAAACGTGCGGCAATTGATTAATGTAACAGGGCAAATATGTACATATTTTATGTGCATTTGCACCAATATGACAAGAATTTTTTAACCTCTATACCGCAAATGAAGCACGAATGAGCATATAAAGGTTAAAATGCACGATAATTGTCATATCGGTGGAAATGCACATAAAATATGTTCGCATTTAAGCTGTTACAACAATCAATTGCCGCACGTATGGCATTTAAAGATGAATGCGTATTTGCATGCAAGTTATGTCAATCCCTGTCTATAACATTGCTCTGCAGACAAAGGATATAATTTACCAATCAAGCCACAAACTAGGAGTGAGGCAAAATGTATGTCTAGAAAGAAATTACAATGCTTCAAATCTTAACCCATTCCAAAGTTCCCCAATTCAGTAAGACAAATGTATATTTCGATAAGATGGTACTTTATTACAACAAATACTATTTAGAAATAACCATAAAACCAAAGAGCAGAAAGTGCAAGACAAGTGCACTATAGAGCTGCTATTTATTGGTTTCACAGCTATAGTAAATTCAGGCATTTAAAACTAATTTCACTCAAGCACTCTCTCATAGCATCTGCAAATAAAGTCAACATCCAATTTTAGTCCGAATAAAAATGCATACACTGCAGTACAAAAAATTGTAACATGAATTGATGCTATTTGCCCCATTTTTTTTTTTTAACAAATCACTGCAGTTAAATATTACTGCCTAATTTTTAGGTTTCATACGGTACATTATAAACTCCTATTTTTACTTGGTAAAAGTGTAGGAATTCCTGTCTTTTGAACAGAACTCTTTAGTCAATGTTGCAAGGAAAAGTGGTTACAAAAAATGACAAATGTATTCAGTTATAGGCCATTTATAGTGAGAGTGGAGGGAAACTAATTTCAGAAAGTAGCGTCAAAATAAACATGTTCTCCTTGTGAAGGTATCAGTTTGTACATCAATGGCCCACCTTGTATAATAGTAATACTGGACTACTTATTAAAACCTACACATAGATTACATCAGAAATCTGGTTTTATGAAGCTTATATACCCCCTTTCATTCGCAGGTGAGAAGAATCGTGTTTAACCTGTGTAATACGGTATTAATAGGAATGTTTTACTAATATGCCACAAACTTGGCCACATTCAATACATTTCTATATAATCTGTCGTTTTTTAGAAGTGCATATGTATTACATGATAATGCCACTGCTCGATGTGCAAAATTTGGTTTACTGTGTAGTCACAGCTGATCCAAATACAGTAACCTGACTAACCAGTACACAGACAGAGAATTGGTTCAGATTGATGGTTTAAGCAGAGTTCAGCTGGTATTCAAGATTCTCTCTCTCACCATAGCAGAAATTAGGCCCGGTCATTCAGATTTGGAAGACCCAAAGGTAATTAACACAGCTAAATTTCTGGTCTGTCAATCTTTATATGAAAAGCTGTGGTGCAGTAAAGAGAGAAGGCCCACACGTTTCCCCGTGTAATGCAGATTGGTGCCGAGGACCCACGCTCTTCAAAGAGACCCAATGCAGTCCATCTAGAGTGTGCAACAAAGACGACCGAGTTGCTTGTTTTTAGCCTCCAGTTCTCTAGCTTCTGTTTGTATTTTTTGTTGTACTGAAAGCTATTTAAGAAGAAAATATATATACACATTTGCTCCTATAATTTACAGCACAATTACAGCGAGATTAAATGAAATACAAAAGTCTCAGCAGAATTCTGTTTGAGATATTTGACCAAATGAACAGCTACACTTCATATAGCAGGGCATGTGACCTAAGATAGAGGGAAAAAAGACTGGTTACATGTAGTTTTACAACCAAAGGAGGGGAAAAAGGGGGAAAAGGAAAATGAGACAAAAAACCAAACCCAACTCCACAATGTCGCACCCATTCAGAATTGAATCTATTTGGCATGTAGTTACGAACCTGAAGTTTAAAACACTTTTCTTTTAAGGCTAGGCTAAGACCTAATTAAATAATCCAAATGTAAACATTACTTCTGTCTTGTAGTTTTCAAAATAAAATAGTCTCTACAAGGTACTTAAAGTCAAACTGCAAAAATTTAATATGAGGTAACGTGCTAACAGCGTGGCCGGGGGGGGGGGGGGGGGGGGGGGGGGGGTGCCACCAGCTCCTTAGCTGGCAATTTTCTCAATTTCATCAAGGTCATCTGTGTCCAATCTTGCAATCTTCTTGTCTGTGTGAAAATACATTGTGGTCAGACACAATAATTAATCACCCTGGATTCATCAACCTGCCCAACACAATTGCCAATATACCAATATGCTCTATTAACGTGCCATTTCCTTTCAAAGCAATACCAGAAATTCAAGTACTTACTGAAGTGTTCTTGGATGCGACTAAGGATGTTCATACTCATCTTGCTGTCTACCATGTTAATAGCCAATCCCCTCTTGCCAAAACGCCCAGTGCGGCCAATCCGGTGTAGGTAGGTCTCATTGTCTGGGTTCCCGTCTTTGTCCACTGGGAGGTCGAAATTAATCACTACAGACACCTGCTCCACATCGATTCCTATAAATCGATTAAAAAAATATATATATTTAACTCTTTACTCCCATCTGTTTTGAACAAAAAGCACAGTTGACTGTATTATGAACTTCAAAAACACTTGATCTTGTAACTCACATAGAATTCATCACAAATAGTCAAGAACGTATAAAGAACGAAAAGCACTACACAGGACAGAAATGCGGAATAATTAAGACATCACACAGCACACAGTTTCCTTGTACTTGTTTCGTAATTGTTCAAAAACTGTCAGCCGAAAAAATAAGACTAAAAATAAGTATTTCAGTGGGATACAATGGTATCTGAAACAAGAGACCCTTCTGGGTATAACTAAGTTCTGAAAATGTATCGCTAACAACTAAAAAAGCAGGTTAAAAGGATTCGAAGTGAATTACAGTCCTCACCCCTGGCACACACATTGGTGGTGACCAACACTTTCTCTTTGCCTTCTCGGAAGCGATCGATGACTGCGGCTCTCTGCTCCACCACCATTTCCCCACTGAGCAGCGCCACCTGGTGACCTTCCTTGGACAGCTCTCCTGCCAGCCAGCCAGCAGTTTTCCGAGTCTAAAGACAGAGCGTACATCTAGCGTTAATATGTAATACTACTACTGGACTGGTCACCTGGCATAACGGGGGGGCTGATGCGTATGTGGACTATCAAAGTTCATTGTGGGGCTCTCGACTTGAACTCTGGTGACAGCGGTGTGAAGCCACAGTGCTAACCACTGCCCTGCCCCTGTACATAAGATAATAAACAAAAGAAGTAGAAGATTGACTAACATGACAAAAGATCATGGCCTGTGCAATGGTGATTGCTCCGTAGATATTGCAAAGTGCCATAAACTTCTCCTCCTTGTTATTGCAGAGCACATAGTACTGTTTGATGGTGTCCAGCGTCTCTTCCTCACGCTTTAGCTTGATGATGTTGGGATCGGGCACAATCCTTTGAGCAAACTTCCAGACAGAGTCTTCAAATGTGGCAGAGAACAGCAACATCTGACAGTCCTTAGGCAATGTCCTGGAGAAGGTAGAGCACATTTTTGTATGGGAACATGGCAACAAGAAGCATTACAGATATGGAGACATGTTTCTCCAGACTGGAAGATATCAACATGGGTGTCTGCTGTACATACCCCACACTTATTGTTGTGGCCACACCTACCTCTGGATGCGAATACTTTGGTCCTGGTGGCCTTGTGTGGCAATCATGACATCAGCTTCATCGAGCACAAACACCTTAATCTTCTTGGGGTCAATGAACTTGAGCTTAATACACCAGTCCAGCACTGTGCCAGGGGTGCCAATAACAATATGCTCCTGTATCTTCATCCCACGGTCCACTGGAAGAGAAACAGAAAAGTGTCACGCACCACTGCCATTTTCATCCTATCCAGCAACCTATACCTCATCCTGTAGCCTCATTTAAGTTAGCATTTCCCAAACCTTGGAAACCTCCGGCAGTCCATGTTTTTGCTCCCTACCAGTTCCCAGTAGGGAGCAAAAATGTGAACTGTCAGGTAGCTGGGAGGGACCAAAAACATGGACTGTCTGGGAGGTCCCCAAGGACCATGTTGGGAAACGCTGATTCATGTTATGTTCCTGCTAAACATGCAATGAGAATCTAAAATGAATACCAAGCATTTTTCAGGTGCTCAAAAATACTAATTAAATAAAAGGCGCTCCTCCAAAGGATCCCTAATAAAAACAATAAATATATGCAAAGAGCATTTCACAATTATCTGTGGAGCTAAGGGGACACCACAAGACTTATTTCTGTGTGAAACAGAACACTAGTGAACAATCACGCAAATAAAATTTTATATGTTCCCAAAAACAAAGCCAACGCCTGGACAGTTAGAGAGAGTCCATGAGACAAATGTCAAATTAAAAGCAGTAAATATAAGAGGAAACATTTAAGACCAGAAATCTGGGATTCCAAGGCAGACCAAAAAAAAAAACAAAACTTACATTTATTGCCTCGGATGGCATACTGCAGTTTAACATCAGGGTAAAACTTCCCCATCTGTTCGATGACTTTTCCCGTCTGTAAGGCTAGCTCGTAAGTTGGGGACACACACAGACACTAATGATAAAACACAAAGAACAATTTGTTAAGTGTTCTACCTTTTAGCTTGATAAGTAGTGAACCATAAACATTTTACAATGTTTTTCTCAATGCCCCAAGACATTTAGTATAACAAATACAGTACATGCAATATAAAGTAACAATTTGTTTGTCAGTCGTGTCACAAAAGTACATTTTTTTAAATTAAATGTTAAAAATTATCAAAGCAGTACTCAGAGAATCACTTTTGCTGCACACTTAGGGGTTGATTATCCCATTAAGCCAAAAAATTGCTTAAAAAAGTTATGCATGTTTAAGTAAAGCATATTCTCCCCTCGTCAGCGTGGATATGCCCACCACACTAAACCCGAAAAAGAAGACACGGCCGTGCAAGAAGTATTATTAATTCATCTAGCAAAAATAGGGGTTTATGATGATTGATGATTTTGGTGACAAATAAAAAGTGGCACAGGGACTATTTTGTTTACATTGTGAACCTAATTGAAATCCACAGAAAACCTTTTACTTTGAAAATGAAAGCATGGCAGTAGCCTGCTACACTCATATTTGATCATTCTCAGGAACATGAGAATCCTTTGACAAAAAACTAAATGTTACAAATACACTGTTTAAATTCTATGCAGAGCCACTGACATTACCTTATTGGGGTATATTAAAATGATGTAATTTATAGCTCTGATTTAATGATGGCTCCAACATTTCCACAAATAGTACCACTGCAGCTTTAAAATCAAGTAACACAAAACAAGATAAATGTTTTTTTTTTTTTTTAAAGTAACCCTCTCTTGCAAGAATGCAAGTACATGCAGTACGGATTTGGATTGCGAGGACACACAACTTCCTTTGAACCTATTCATTACTCATTTTAATTGAAATGATTTATTTTTTATTTTTTTAAATCAACCAATCATTTAGTTTTATTGATTCACCTGCTAGGCGTGTTGAAAAAGCAGATGCTACTTAAATCCTGCACAATTATGATATACTTTGTAAATACCTATATTTTTCTATGTATTATTGAGATAAACAATTAAGATGCACAGATTGTATCACCCAACTATCAGTATTGGCTAATGGTTAAAAATGAGGCGATATTTAGTCAATAATTCCTTTTAAAATGGTGACCCACATTGCTTTGTATACCTGCATACTGAACAATTAGAAAAATGTCTACCATGTAGAATTATTTTAACGTCATTAGAAATGCATTTTGCAAACACTGCTCTGCTAAAATTTCACTAGAAACCGGGCTCCATAAGACGACCAATTTGGTCGCACGTGACCAAAAATGTTGACTGCGACTAAATTTTCTCCTTGGTCCCATAGGTCTATCTTTCCAGGGTCATAGCCAATCAAAGGCACAGAAGGGGTGGGTCTTCGCTACTTTAGACCAGTATTTCTGAAACTATATGTTTAAGAATGTTTTGAAAAGGTATGTTTTTACTAATTATAAAATCGTTTACATTTAGCTCAAGTTATATATATATATATATATGAATTATTCACATATTGGGGTGGCATGGTGGTTAGCACTGCTGCCTAACACCTCTGGGACCCGGGTTCGAGTCTCCGCCTGGGTTACGTGTGTGGAGTTTGCATGTTCTCCCCGTATCGTTGTGGGGTTTCCTCCGGGTACTCTGGTTTCCCCCCACAGACCAAAGATATGCTGAGGCTTATTGGAGTCACTAAATTGCCCATAGGTGTGCATGTGTGAGTGAATGGTGTGTGAGTGTGTGCCCTGGGATGGGCTGGCCCCCCGTCCAGGGTTGTTTCCCACCTCGTGCCCACAGTTTCTGGAATAGGCTCCGGACCCCCCACGACCCGGAAGGACAAGTGGTTTGGGAAATGGATGGACAGAATTATTTGCATAAATTTTGAATTGCAACATTTGTTTCTACATTTATGATAGTTTTGTTTTGTTACATGTTTGGCTCTTTGAAAACTGCAATTCTGCATTGTGCCGTGTATGACTTAATACAGCTATCCAGAACACGCAGTGAAAATGCTCTTAAGTGCACCTCAGTCAGTGGCAGAATGCACTTAAGGGTCATTTACTTTGTATTAAATCATCTAAGTTCATGGGAAAATACGCTTAAGTCAAAAAGCGTGTTTTTTTTTTTTTTTTTTAAACTTCAGTACATCGGAGAATCAACCCCTCCAATTTAACTTACATACATTATATTCAGTTCCCTCCCCCCATTATTTGGCAAAAAGTCCTTGGAAATTTCCTAAATCTCTGTATTCGTAATGTTTAAATAGTCTTCTTGTGCTCGGTAAGGAGCCACCCACTCCACAAATATAGGGATCAATTTACCAGTTTTGTGCATGACCCTGTATTACAAATTAACAGCACCTGTGGCACATGGCCAAAGACTGTCCACAGCAAATACAGCTGAAGGACAGTCGCCATTCACTATTCGATCCACGGTTCGCTCTGTCTGGTCACCTCGTGCAGCAGGATTTGAACCATTATTCTGCACATCGTACACCACGACCGCTACGAGTGAGGACAGGGCGGACTCACCTGAGGCCACTTGTTACTGGGATCCACACGACTCAGCATGGCCAGTACAAAGGCAGCTGTTTTGCCTGTGCCAGACTGCGACTGAGCAATCAGGTTCTGAGGCCTGGCATGAGAGGAACAGAGATATACTAAAAGTACAAGTAAACCAAGGGGCAGCGTCGCTCCGGTTATAAAACTTCACATGGTTAAGGTGAATGTTCAAAGTACTTCATGCCTGACACAGGTCATGGATAACAAGAATAATATTAACTGCTCCTCTGTAGTAATTCTGAAATATTTAGACTAAGATTGCCCAAAATGAATATGCAAGCTTGATTACAAGTACACTTACGGTTCTGCAAGCATCATGGGCAAGGCGTTCTCCTGGATTTTAGAAGGTCTGTTGAAACCCATAGCATACACACCCTGAAGCAGTTGGGACTTCCTGGGGAAAAATGGGGGGAGGGGGGAGACCCAGATCCACAATCCGGTTATACTACTCAAAAGAAAGGTAGCATCACAAGTCACTGTCCTTAATACAGCAGGAAAGGTGCTAAAGAATCAACTACATAGGCAAGGATGTTAAGCGCAGCGTTTGTCAACCCGATCCACGGGGACCCCTAGACTGTCCACATTTTTGCTTCCAATAGGGAGCTGAGAGGGAGCAAAAATATGGACTGTTTAGCAAGGAGCTGGGAGGGAGCAATAAAATGGACCGTATGGGGATCCTCGAGGAGCAGGCTAAGAAACACTAGATTAATGAAAAAGCTCAATGACAATGTAACAAATTAAAATGCAATTTCACGACTGAGAAAAAACAGTCACAGCAGCTCAACTCCAAATTCACTTCCAACAAAAAGGTTATGGCACTTCAATTCTTGATATGTCTGTTGTATGATAGGAAACACTAAGCCAATCACATTAATATCCATTGATGCTTTAAACTAGTGATGTCCCAAACGATTATTCTTTAAACGATTAATCTAGCGATTTTTTTTTTCTTTCGATTATTCGACTAATCTAACAACTAATTTTTCAATTGATCTGATAAATTTATTGATAAGCAATTATTTTCAAGTTAGTCATTTAATACAATTCACCCTCTCCCCCACACACAAATCTGATATTATCATTAACATTTCAATTTATTAAAACATTTCTTAAACATTAGAGCATTATTAACAAAGGCAAATCTTAAGAGATTCAATAGGATTTCTATGTTAGACTGAAGTTAATAATCACTGCAATAGTTTTTACTTAACTATTTCACTACACCAATTTGACTTTAATGTTAAAATACATGCTAAAACATGGAATGATTTCATAACTAGAGAAACATGTTTTTAACAAACACTAGCAACGGTAGCTTATAGTTCAGCTTACTTCAGTGAGCAAGGAATGATTTAGGCTACATTGTGCAAGAGTAGTCATAAACGATAATGTGTCTCACTCCTACATGACAGAATAAGTAATTAGAAAATATAAAACGGCTGGAACAGCGTCATTAACGTCAGCTACAGTTGAGGTGCAGAAAAGGTGCCATGACTGAAGTTTTCCCAAACTTTGGAAGACCGCGTGCGAGTCTTTCTTGCTACATGATTGGCCAGTGCATGCTTTACAAAATAGTGTGGCACTGCTGGCACCGGCGATATTAGACAAAACTATATCTGAATTCAGTCTATAATCGATATCGTTTTAACGGTGCCAGCAGTGAAACAGTTAGCCAGCTAATTAATAGAATAGCTTTGTATTGCAAATGAAAACCATGCCGCAGGACCAATAAATAAAATATTGTAGCTCTCGAGTGGCGAAGAGATCATCAGGTAGACAGTTTTATTGCGCGATTCTTAAAAGGATAGCGTTAACATGCACCTGAGGGGATAAAGTACTTTCCCTTACAATATGTTTAGTTTACCACTTAGTGCACTGCAGTTACAAAACATTTACGTAGGTTAACACAACGCGTTGACACTAAAATTCCATGTCGGCGCATTTTTATAATCAACATCGTCGATTACGTCGAATAATCGTCCCAGCCCTAATTTAAACTGGGCAAGTCTTCATGACCACCCGGACAAAGCCTAATTCTACTACATGTGCAACACCTATTTTTACAGACATAAGTGTCCTTCTACTCTGCTGTAAGGAGCTCTCTCAGGCCCCTTTCTCACACTTAGAGACTCTGTAGTCCAAACCATGTGTCCTCAAGTTTTGTATAACAAGGTCAGATAAGGCAACAGCAGATAGGGTTCCAATAAAACATTTTCGATGCGAGTCCAAGAAGCACTTTCCGACTTAGATTCTAATGTAATGAATATTTTTTAGCCACAAAGTGAGACTTATATATCTTCAAATAATAACTATTAGTCTTTAGATTAATCTATTAGATGCTACAATAAAGTTACAGCTTAACGCTAACCAATTTTTATGCAAGGTTTCTCATCTAGCATTAAAATTTCCAGTTTTTTCTCCCAGTACTGCTTAAATGAATAGATTGAATGTTTTGATTAAAAACTACACATATACAGTGAATATACAGTTTAAGCATCCAGTATTGTGGGCAGTGGTGGCTTAATGGTTAGAGAAGCGCACTTGTAATTGAAAGATTGCTGTTTCAAATCCTCGGCCAGCAAGGCACCACTGAGGTACCCCCAGCAAGGTACCACCCCCAAGCACTGCGTCCCCTGCTATGTCACGATGACACATATGGGTTAAATGCAGAGGACACATTTAGTTGTTGTGCACTGTGTGCTGTGGTGTGTCAACAATGACCACTGATCACCAAATTCTAAATTCTAATTCGAAATTCTATAGTGTACTTTCCAAAGAAGATCTCTACTTACAGTCGAAGCTCTTCAAAAGACTTGACAGAGTAGAGTGGAGAGTTTGGATCCCTTTGAAGAACTTCCACCTGATTGGTTGTGTTTACCAGGTTACTGCGAATCAGCTTGTTCAAAAGTGACTGTGCGGCTCTGTCCTCTGAGAGAATATTAAAAACAAATTCAAGCTTGCTAATGAAATATACAGAAGAAATCAAATTTAATATAGTGACTTCCACAAAAAAGTTCCAAAAAACACCATGACAGTAAATGTTAGTAAACATTTGAATGCGGTAATCCACCCTACCATTTTAAACAACAATATAACACAAAATGTGTATTAGGGCTGGGCGATATCATATCGATATAATATTGCGCATGCGCAATAATCACTAGGGCTTCAGATGACAGGTGCAACATTTGGCCATGCGGCAGCTTTTCGGTGCTATATGGACATTTATTTACGCCCACTATTTAAGCAGTTTAGTAGTATGGCTAAAATATAAATGAGGCTTTGTATGACGCCCAAAAGTCATTATTAGTATAAATATGCATATCCTTGTTTAATAAATGTGTCAGACTTTGAACTGTAAAAAATACCACCACACCTTGTTTATCCACAAGATCTCCTCTTTTAAAAGATGTCGTGGCTGCTCTTCTTCACCGCGACTTCAGTGCATATTGCACTGAGGTATACCAAACCGTAGTATACCAAACCGTAGTATAGCAAAACAGTATTAAGTGGGGTGCTCCGCTAATCGATTTTAAGAAACAAAGTTTATACAGATTACTAACTTTTGGGTATCACAAAACGCATCTCATTAAATTTAAGCCATACTACTAATCCTTTTAACAAATTATGGGCATATATTAATGTCCGTATAGCACCGAAAAGCTGGCGTCCGGCCAAATGCTTCATCTGTCATCTGACCAGGGCAGTGATTATTGCGCATACGCGATATAATATCGATATGATATCGTAATACTGTATCAGTAAGTGACTTTTTAATATCTGAACTTTTACCTTTGTCATCTTCATCTGGTTTATCCCCATCATCATCTGTCTTTGTGGTTCCTAGTTAAAAAAAGCACAGGCCAATCATTTTTTTTGTATGCCGATAAGATAAACGATAATACATTCATTTGAAAAATGTACGCACAACTGAGCATGACAAGTAAACAATCAGCAGTAGTTGCAATGTGCAAACACGTTCTAAATCCAAAAATGACGACTGTCTTACCATTTGCTTCTGCTCTTGATCTGTCTTCATTCTCTCTTATCTGCAAGCTACTAAGCTGTAAACAAAATGAAAATGTAAATATAATACGCACGTGGGATTAGGTAAAGTTCGGGTAAAACCAAACGTTTCCATACCGGCAAATCAGACCATGACGACTGGGCTATAACGTAAAAAATCATTAAACACAAGTAGTGAAAACAGGCCCATACAAACAGCAATATTTATTTTATTTTATAAAAGGGTGAATTTATATTAAGACAAAATTGCTCCACTGGATCTACAATAACTTCGGAAGTCCAAAGACAAATTCAAAAACTGCTCGCTGAAAATTTAATACACAAATTCAACGTCTAGTTCAAATAATTCCGACTGCACCAATACAGTAATCACCAGCCGCCTAAAATCGATTAAAATGATCACAACTATATTTTTGATCGCTTGTCTGGAAGAAAGTGTTAATTCATGACGTTATAAAGGCCGGACCACCTAGCCGGTAAAATTAAGATTGCCCAACTCGTGTTAAGTGATTTGGGTTCGAGGGGAATCAGAAAGCAGGACCCTGTCGCTGGCTACACGGACACCTGGTTAGGATATACTTTTACACTAAAACTGAATAATAACACCACGTTCTCTGTGTTGTGGCTGAACACCAACACAATGGCCAAACAAAGCTTCAAATCGACTACATTTTGATCTGACGCATTTTGTCAGCGCACTGTTTTGGGCCCAGCCGCTAAGTAATAAGGTAGCTAGCTAGCTAGCTAACCGTGATAATGCTTAGTAAGTAGCTTGGTAATCGTTCATTCTTACTGATTCTGCTGCAGCTTCCTGCTCGTCCACAGCCAGGGCCCAGGAATCTGTCGCCATTTTCCGATTAACGATTGCTCAAAGTATATGTCAGGTTACGCTGCTAAGTGATTTAATGGGATGCCAAAGAGAACACACTTCTTTCCGGATGCCCGACGATGCGAAAGAGAAAGGCTGACGCTAGGTGGACGTCCGCTATTACCACCCTCCGCCTGAAACACAGAAAGAGCAAAATTAGTTCCTAGTCTTCGCTGCCTTGTCTATAAAACGAAATATTACTGCGCACGCATTTTCTTTATTTATTATCATTGGTTATTTTGGTATTTATGCCGCTTTTTCAGCGTAATGACATATGACTGTCGGTCGAAGCTAAGCATTTTTAAAACTCTGTTTTAATTTATAGCCTAAGTGCAGAGTATTCTTCTACAGCAGGAATTTATCATAAACGTAAAATAAGTCTTATAATGATTCTACAGAAATTGTCATAACTATATATTTCTTTTGTATTGTGCTGTACAAGCATGACGAGTGTTTATCGATATATGACAAATGAATGGTTTTCATCATGTTTCATAACATCTGACAAATGTTATTAATATATATATTAAATGCAACCATATGCATTGTGACTGAAGAAGAATTCGTCTTTTCAGTGTAACAGTTTTTCTTTCTTGGGAATATCTTAGAAATTTTGCGTAGAACAAACCTTTCTTTCTGACCGCAGCAAATACTATTTTGTGGTAATTCGTGCCAAAAACCTGTGGAATGAAAATTACTTTGTATTCACAAAAGAAGTATTCCTACGAAGAATTTCCATCCATCCATATAACATACAACTTTTGTAGAGGTAGTCAGACCTTGCGGCACTGAAATCCTAGCGATAGTAAAGATTTCTATTCATAAAAATATCAGCATAGTAGAATGGTTTATGGATGCATATGTGTGAGTGACAGAGAGAGGGACTGAGAGAGAGAGAATCTTCTGGAGAGAATAAGCTTTATGGTCAGCACATATTAATTTAATTGTAGAGCGGATGTTGAAATTCCAGCCATGATTTCCCCCCTAAACCAATCTGATTTCCTTAAAGAAACCAGCAGGGCTTGATATTGTCATGGTTACCATCCTAGTAAAATAGGGCTCACCCAGGCAGTGGCCACAAATAGAGCAGCTGGCCAAACTCCTACATCAGATTCAGCAGAGTGACATTAAGGGCTTTGCGATGAGCAGGAGAGTATGGCAGCTGCATAAGTAGGGAAGAGAGGTTAAGGTCTATCCCACTTTAGTCCTCATCCCCAAAGCACCATCACCAGTAGCTTCCCTTCTCCCTTCCTTCAGCTCCACGCATGGCGCTGCATTTCATTGAAACTGGTCCCCAGCCGTAAAAAAGGTTGCATGAATGGGGGGGCTCTCATCATCGATTGCAGACAGGAGGAGTGGGTGGTGTTCATGCTGGGGGTAGGGAGGGGAGGGGAAGGGGCTGGTAGTCCGTTGCATATGACCGTCTCCCTGCCAGAAAAGCTTTCCAACTCCAGCCACAAGGAGAGCCTGAGAGACTTTTTTATAACCACATGTTGCTGTTCTGACTTTATTGCTATAGCCCTCGTTATTTATTTATTTATCAGTCATTTATTTCCTTCCTTCCTTCTGGGAGACCTGATATTTCCCCTCACAGCACTCACGGACAATCTGGACCCAAACAAAAGAAAGGGACGAAGAATGAGGAGAGAGAAAACAGCATCCTTTCATTTCTGACCTCGTGGTGAGTTAAAGGACAAACCAAAAGAGAAAAACAATAATAACAATTACCTTTCAAAACAGCACAAATGTAAGGTAAGACCTGTTTGTTTGAGAGTGCCTGTAGTTGCTGGGTTTTTTGACATTGTGTCTCTCCTATTGTTTTTCTAAATAACTTAAACAGATACGGGCTCTTTTTTTGAGAATATGCATGTATTTATTAGTACCAGTAATTTGATGCTTCATTCATTGCTGAATTTCTGGGAGACCATGATTAGCAGAAAAAAACTGTCAAAAGCACTTTGCAGACTTGTAGTGCACTTTTATTTGTTCAAAACATTCTCATACCTATATGTTTTGAAGACCCATTTGTTTTTCAGTGCATCTGCCAATGAATGTAGCAGTAGGGAACCATTTATTGTATAGCAAACACTAAATCCAGTGCATGCTGCACCAACAGGTGGTTGTCTCTCCCGGCAGTTTCTTTGTAGAACAAAATGGGGGGTTGCTGTTGTGCTGCTGATGCTGTAGAGTGTCATTACATGTTTTGCTTGAGCCCATTAGCTTTCCTTCAAACCACATAATGTATAAAATCACAGTCTTCAAAGGGAAATAATCCTTCCATATTTTTTTTTTCTTCCAGCGTTTGCAGCCACTTTATAGATGTCTGGTAAAATCCAAGAATTAGGGGAGGGGGGGGGAACTGGCTCTCCGATGTTACATATCTGATCATAAATTAAATAAATACTGAGAAAAGTCTTTACTTGATATTTTTCTATTTTGTTATTACTTTGTCCATTTTGACATTATAGTAATTTGATTTTACATGTGTACCCTACTACTTGGAAAAAAAAGTAAACATTGTTGCATTTCCTTAATTGCGCTGTCAGATTTCTTTTTATTTGTATTGAAATAAAATGTTGACAGCATTCTCTGTGCAAAGATTTTAAATGCATGCAGGTAATGTGAATATAGATGCATGCTCTACTCATCGCATTGATGTGCCCAGGGTACAGCGACCTAGCAAAGTACGTCCAGAGTGCCATAGAGGCCAAATATTTGAACAATTGCCTGACAAGACGAGTTGGCTTTGTGCTGCAGCACGGCTTCACAAAACGAGCAAGCTGATGCCGCCGTTCTGTCTTGCCCTGCCGGTACGCCACATAACACAGGATGGCAGTATTGACACAGAAACGAAGGCCATCACTAGTGTTTGTGCACTGATTTGTGTGACCTTTTCCTCTTCCACGGGGTGAATGACAGGAGCCCAACTGACCCTTAACTTAATTAACGGACCGTCCCATGCCTCAGGCTGAATTATGAGTCCCTGTCGAAGCTTGATAAGAATTGCAGAGTCGCACTCTTCCACAACAGCTATTTCCTCTGCTGTCTTGGGGATTTTCAGTAAGCCTTGAACCAACATTACCCATAGAATCTATCAGCCAGTGTTTCATTAGACAAAGGAGTATGAACATGTAGACATTGTGTTTCATGATGGATGGGTGACTTATCAGCTGGGGGTTCCTGGGGTTTTATTGGTAGAGTTAAACTCAAGTTGTGTATCTGAACGGTTTTCTGGAGCCAGTTGTGACTGAGGAGAAATATTTTAAATGTCTCATTTTACCCACGATGTTAGGTAGTAATAGACCATTATACACATAACTGACAGTGTCCAATAACGCAACAGATTGGAATATGCTTTTCCTACTCAGACAGTTTTGTGGGGAAAAAAGTGACCTAGTGCTGACCACTTTTTTGTGAGTTTTTACAGAAATTGATTGAATGATCATCCTACTTTTATTGGAAATTAGCGTGTGTCCTCATGCCTCTCCAACTCAGGAGCGGAATGATAGATGGCGCTGAAACTGAATCAGAAGAATTGGATCGAATTATAAAATGAATGACAGCTCGTATTCTCTTGTGCTAATGACATAAAAACAAAGTTTTATGGAGGTTGTACGTGCCATTTCTGTAGGAGATCGAGTTACGATTATTATGTGTTATGTTATGATAAATTACTTATAGTAAAATGCAATGAAGCAGACCAGTGAATGTAGTGAAACTGATGTCTGAGAAGTAAAAGTCAATCATGGTTTCTGTTTTGTCATTTTTCTTGTTTCTGGATGAGAATAGGGACAGCTACAGTAGGTGTTGTGAAAAATGTGGAAATGTAATGGTCTTGTTTCTGGCAAAGTTTCTTGTTCTCTTCTTCTTTGCCAAAGTGACAAAGAGCGCAGATAAAAAGAGAAGAACCATGCCGGGCTTGATAAATGTCGAGAAGCGGAGTGCCCTACCACTCAGTGTCTCCGAAATTACATCCTGTGTCAGAGGATACACCCTAGCAATGACAGCCTCCATGACGTACAACAACTTCGAGGACCACCCTATTGAAGGTAAAAATCCGGCACCTTTGTAGATTCAATGCTGTGCACATCAAGAAATAGTACAATAACCGATTCATCAAAGAGACAAAACATCGTTAGTGAGGAACACATTATGCAAATGACTTTGCATTTTATGCAAAAGTCAAACACCATGTCCTTCATTGGCAAGTAACTTTAAAGTTAACAACATTCACTTGCGACCAAGATGTTCTTGATGGCCCCCTTAACCTGAATATTACTGGGAATTCTGCAAGTCTTGTGTATACGCAAATCACTCAATATCATGTAAAAGCCGTATATGCTATGTGCTAGAACACCAACAGTGCATAGTGAGTGCTAGAGTGATCGAAGGGGTAAATGTCAGATAGCAGGCAATCGTTTCACAGGTAGATCCGGGGTGAGCTTAATTTCCTCTCCATGTCCACCTGACAGCTCAGTGTGAAAGTGATTACCCTTTGTGTTCTGTACATGATTTGTACCTGCCAAGCAATGGCAGCGATAACATGCTGTCATCGTATTAAACTTGAGCGAAATTTATTAAATTATAATATTGTCTTTTTTTCATAGAAGCTTAAGAGGTACTCCTACCTGGAATTAATACTTAATTTTTTTTACAAAATAAAAAATTAAGACACAAACAAATAAATAAAAATTAAAAAGCATATTCCCATCAAAAAATGTGAATGAAGTGTACTGCAGCAATGTGTGTAAATATCCCCCAGAATGTGATAAAAACCTGTTATTTTGATGTTTTCTGAAGAGATCTTTTTTTGGAAAGTTAAAATCATTTCAATAGCAAAGTGCCCCCATGAATCTCATCCACCTGCGAGTTCAAAGAATGGTGTATGATGTAGGATCTTTGTACATCATCAACTATCATTAAGCGTATGGCCCAGTCTTTCCACAAATAAAATATAAACATAAATATGATGTATTTTGTTGAAAGGAAATAAAAATCAATGCTTGAACAGTGAAAGCAAGGGGTTTTCAGACCTTTACTAAAATAAATGGGGCATAGGAGTGATTTATCTCTTATTCCCAATCAGTAGACTGAACAGAAGGAAATATGGGCGAAACTGTGAGTCAAGCCAGTGAAATCACCCCGGAGTTATAGGAGCATAGTAAACATGGCCCAACTAACCCTTTCAAATGCCAATGCTGTCTAAAAGTGAAATTTTAGCTTTTTCTTGTACTAGATTTGTAAACTGCCTCATCTAGCCTGTCCCAGGATTCAAGATCTTTATTGGCCGTTTGAAACAGCTGCACTGGAATGTTTGCTTGTTCATATACACTACCAATTAAACGTTTTTGTACACCACGGGTTTTTACCACTTTTCAATTTATTTCATAAACTTGTAGATTTTTTATTCTTGTTAAGCACTGGAAAGTAGAGTGAACAGCTATGACTGAAAATATAAGTGAAATAAAACAAGTTTCCTTTGTAACATGGAAAGTATATGTAACAGTGAATGTCTGACATCCTATTAACTGGTTGTGTGGTGACGGCATAGTCAGATTCTAGGCCGTCCTTTAAGTTTAGTTAACTGTTTCATCCCATGAAACAGAGCATTTTTTAATGTCCCGTTTACAAAGAATGCCTTGAACATTCTCTGCTGTTATAACTGCTGGAGAAGGTTACTTTGATGAATCAAGATATGACATTTCCTTGCTAATAAAGGTACTCAAATGGTGAAGGGAAAATACTGTACATTTATTTGTTACAAAGAATATTGAGTGTATTTTTAGTAAATGTTTAGTGAGCAACATGCAAATGTAGAAAATCTCAGTGTGTGCAAAAACTTTTGGCTGGTAGTGTACACTCAATTACAAAAGACTAAAGGCAATGCAAAACAAATACAATGAGAAACAATAGAAGACGGTGCCAAATATTACAGTACAGAACAGTACAAAAACTAGACAATATGCTGATGAAGTACGGTATAAAGTGTAGATGCAATGGAGGTGAAAGTCAAGGGGGATTTTGGATCTTTGAAACTCAAATGGCCTAAAGAAAAGAGCTGTTCTTGAATCTGGTTGCTGCTCTTGAGTTCTGATGCTGCAAAACCTCCTACAAAACTGCAGGAAGGTAACGAGTTTATAGCACCTTTCTAACCAAATCAGACTAACTGCTTTGGAAGGTTGGGTAACACTTTACTTGCGGCCATGTTTTAGGTAATTTAAACACATTCATAATGCATTATCATGCATTCATAAAGCAGGATAAACATATTCATCGAGAGGCATAACACATTATAGCCATGTTTATTATGCATTATGACTGCCTAATGAATATATCATCTACAGTACAATGCACTATAGATACCTTTATAATGCGTTGCAAAGCATCCGTAATGCTAATACTGACCATTATAATGCATTATAAAGGGATCTATAGTGCATTATAGATAATAATAATGCATTCATAAAGCATTATGGCTATAATGTGTTATGCCTTTTGATAAGTACATTTTGATAAATATAATGCTTTATGAATGCATTATTATTTGCTATGAATGTGTTTATAAATGACTAAAAACATAGCGTTAAGTAAAGTATTACTGAATGTTGAATTATCTTTCATTCCAGGCATCTTCATCTACCCTTTGGATGAATGTTCAACAGTAGTAGGATTCGAAGCCATGATCTCTGACCAAATCATAACATTGCAGATCAAGGACAAGACCAAAATTGATGACTGTTACTTTGATTGCTGTTCGACTGCTAATGAAGCTGTTCAGAGTGGCACTGGTAAGGACATAATGGGATGTTTAAAATGAAGGGGTCAAATCAAGCAAAAAAACAAGAGTCAATGAAGAAATGTGATTCCTCATTGATTTTTGAATGACTGGTCATTTGAGTGCCCTTGAAGTTCACATGGCAAACAATTATGTGAAATGCATCATTGTACTATACAGGAATGCTGTAATAAGACAGAATATTATAGGAATGTTATAAGAATTCCGAGCCAGGAGCCAAAAGAGTCCTCTAAAAATTCAATTAGCTCCTATTTTTATTTGTTTCTTACAAAGTCAGGACTTATTGCTCATGCGATCAAATTAATTCAGCACGACATAGGCCTGGACTTAGCGCTACTAGCGTAGTGACAAATCTACCTAGCTAGCTGGGCTCCTGACTGACTTTTACAGTGCGAACAAGAACAAAGGTCACTGCAGTAACTATCAGACATAAATCATGTTTCCACTGCAGTTTCTTTCCAAAGCACCATCTAATTGCTTCAGAGTTTGGCAATGCAATTATGCTTGATCCTTTGCCGCAATAAATAAAATGATTGGCAAAAATGATAAGTTTGATCAATGGCTTCATTAGGATGGCATTTATTTGAATGTGATCCGGTCATAAGATGGTGCGCAAAGTGATTTTTCATGCTGATTCATGTTCCATCAATACTGTATTGTGTCTAGCCAGCATATAACTATCTGAAACAGGAGCTGGCAATGACTGCCAATACTGTGTGTCCATGTAGACTGCAAACGTGATGTATTTTTTTCACCTATTCAAGAATTCATGGTTTAACGATATATAAATATATAAATTCTACAAAAAAATGAGACAATGTGTAGCTAAATGGCTTTAAATCCTGTGGTCAGAAATGTAATTATTTCACCATTGGACCTTGAGCACGGCCCTGAACCCCAGCTGTTCAAGGGGTGCTGGGCACTGGCTGACCCAGTAAACTGACCTGAAAAACTTGCTGTCACCAGTATATAAATGCATGTCTGTATTCCTTATGGATAACAAGATGGGGTATGTCAAAACTACTCAGCTACCCCCAGGGAAGAGAAAAATGCCTTTGTTTGATTCTATATTTCTGTAGAATATAACCACAATAGGGCAATGTCACTAGGTAATAATACTGCAGTATAGGGTTTATTTAAGAAGCTGTTTAATAGAATAAAATGTTTCTTAATAGTAAGTTGTATTTTAAGCTGTTCAAATATTCCCAGCTTGCATTTTTGTACTGTCTAGTTTCAGAGGATTAAAATGAGGAATTTTGCACTTCCAGAAATGCCAATAATCAGTCTCAGAAATAAAATAGATGTTAGCTCATTGTTTCCTTACCCAGTTCTTGGGGGGGGGGGCCCTAGACAGTCCATGTTTTTGCTCCCTCCCAGCTCCCTTACAGACATTCCACATTAATGCTACTGGCAGCTGAGAGGGAGCAAAACTGTATGGGGTCCCAGAGGACCGGGTTGGGAAACACTGTTGGGTCAAAGTGTATGCATTTGGGTGTACTCATCTTCAATGTAATGGGTCGCCTTGCAGGCAGAATTATGCTGGATGAGGACCTGGAGCGGACGGTGCTGGTGGTTAACCTGGGCATCATACCTCCCTTAGAGACTGTCAACGTACTGGTCAGCACGTCCTCTGAGCTGCCCACTCTTCCCAATGGAGCCATCAGGGTCACCTCCCCACCTGCGTGTACTCCCAATGTCCAGAAGTCTGTCAGTGAGGAACACTGCTTCAGCCCAAGCCTAGCTAGAGTGTAAGGCGGTTTTTGTGGTGTATTAAACTGAGGTCTGAAAATCATGTCATCAATCATTACTACAGTTATTGATCTCTGCAATGCCTGCTTGTTGGTAAAACAAGACAGGGGTGTTGTTAGAGATTTTGGGTCCCATGAAGGTACTGTATATCATATTGGGTCCCATGAAGGTATATCATATTGGGTCCCATGAAGGTATATCATATTGGGCCCCATGAAGGTATATCATATTGGGCCCCATGAAGGTATATCATATTGGGCCCCATGAAGGTATAGCATATTGGGCCCCAACCTAGACCAAGTATATTATGTTCCAGATATTTTTAGGGCCCCTGTTGCTCAGAGGCCCTTGGAATCGTCTTATCTGCCCCCCTCCACCCACTTGCTGCCATTGCGTGCTGAGTAGTATATAAATATGTAAGATGCTCTGGAGAATAATAACTATGAATTTTCACTGAAAATCATTAGCTGAGGGAGATTTCTGTCTGCCTGGTGCGGCACTATAGCTAAAGCATGGAGATGAAAAGCAATGAGGGCTGGATGAAGGGACAACAGTGAAACAGATGAGCTGATTCATTAGAATAAAAAAGGAAATCAAATGCAAGGATCAATGGCTTCTGACAACAGATCTGGCTTTGTGCCCAGAAGGGACAGGCACCACTGCACCCTCAGCCCACATGACCAGACCCTGGCAAGCAGCCACCTCTGCCTGGCCTGGCTACTGGAGGAAGAGCAGCTCAATTCCATCGACTATGAGTTCAACTTTCGGCTGGAGATCCGGGGCCCTTGCCTGCTTGCCGGTCAGTGCCATCAGCCACTCCTCCCCTGGTGGATTTTAAGATCTTTCATTTGGAATTGCATTTCCTCTTGAGACTTGCAAAAAAGGTCATAGCAAAAAGAATGTTACAGCCTTCCTGTGCTTTAATTGATTGCATGCTGCGTATTCTGAAGAAGGCAGAGATTTGTTCTAAGTGCTAATTACTTAATGCAAGTCTGGCACCTTTAAGTACTTTATCACACATCAGGAGGGCAGGGGATAACTTGAGATCTAAAATGGGTCATGGATCTGCCTTTTCCTACACTCTCACCATTATTATTGTTTCAGCTACAAAGGCCTCTGAAGGTGACTGACATGCAAAACTCTTTGGCAGGTGTTGAAAGCCCAACTCACGCCATTCGGGCCGATGCAGAGGCTTCAGCCCGCTCTGCCACTAATGTTGTTGTGACTTTGGCAGACAAGTACACTTACGACTACCCTGTGGAGATCATCATCTACTTAAGTGGTGTGTATTCCCCAAGGTGCCTCAAAGCTATAGTCTATGGCTAATATAGAACCAACCAGATGCACAAACAGGCACTCAAAGTTGCACTTTGAATGCAGGGGTGGTGTTGTGGTTAGCACTGTTGCCTTATACCTCTGGGACCTGGGTTTGAGTCTCTGTTATGGCTCCATGTGTGGAGTTTGCGTGTTTTCTCTGTGGAGTTGCGTCTGGGTATTCCAGTTTCTCCTCACAGTCCAAAAACAAGCTAAATTGAATTGGATTTATGAAATTGCCTGTAGGTGTGCATATATGACTGAATGGTATGTAGGTGTGCCCTGCAGTGTGTGGTGCCTTATCCCGGGTTGTTCTTTGCCTTGTGCCCATAGGCTCTGGACCTACATTGATCCTAAATAGGACATATAGTTACAGAAGATTAACTAGAAAGTTTCACATTATCTTTGGTCGGAAATGTGCTGATTAAATCCACAAACAAATAAAATAATTGATCCTACTGCCTTTATTTTTGTGGTCTCCCAAATGTAGATTTAAGAAATGTTCTGGAGCTGTTCCCTGTTATCACTGCTCACTTACTGCCACTTACTGCCCCCCCCCCCCCCCCCCTTCTGTCTCTGCTGTTGCATCAAGTGTTGAGTCCTTAGAGGGCCGTGTGAGCCCAAAATGGTCCTTCACCTCCCATGCTGTCTGTGCCTGAAGGTGGGCATGTGGTCAGAAAAAAAAAACCAATCCCACATTGGCAGCAATCCAGTCAGTGGCCCATGTAGCGCCATCCGAAAATGGCACAGGCCCCCACCAGCACGCGGCATGACCAGAGGGATTGTGGTTAATTGGGCTTGAAGCCCATCAGGAGTACATACATTGCAGTTGAGACTGTGGCTGACATAAAACCGTGTTGATTCTACGAAAATTATCGCGGCTGGATTAAAAACTTTGTGAATAACACATTTTCTGTTAAACAAGACAAAACAAGCAGACTGTCTGGTGGAACGCTTAGCTACCTTTTGTTGTGCTATAAATACAAAAGTAAAAATGACTGCTGAATATGACTAGGAAATAACAAAAATTATTAATACATTTTTAATACAACCAAAATAAATGCACAAATGGCAAAATGGAATATGAGCGTTAATGGTTGAATCAATGAATGGACAGTGAATAGTTACAAAAGAGTCATAAAACTGAAGTAGTTTGATGGTCCTACTCCAGCTTATTATATTACCTTGTCATTATACAGCTTAGATTACTAATCGCAATTAGACGTCAGAACAGTCTAATCGCGCCTATTTTATGTTTCCAGAGCCACACGTACCGCATGTTCTGATTGAGGACGGCGACATGACGCTTGAGGAATATGACGAGCACCTAAAAGGCAGGAGTGACTTCATCAAAGGCACCAAGAAGGACTCCAGCAATGAGAAGAAAGTGGGTCCCAGCTCTATTTAGTTTAATCAGAGGCGGAAAGTTCAGGTTCAGAAAGTACAAATCCAGGGCAGGATTTTGTTTCCACCCACCAGTCGAGCATAAAGAGTCACTTTCACAGAGAACTCAACTTGGTTGAAACAAACCCTTGGTGTAGATTTGTACTTTCTTGACGTGGGCCCATATTCACAAAGCATCTTAAGACTAAAAGAAGCTCCTAACTTGCTGATTTAGTAGAAACGGCATGTCAGTCCTAAATGTAGGACTCCTCATTTTTATGACAAAGAGTAATTCACAAAACCCCTTAGTGCCACAAGTAGCCCCTAGGTGTGGGAGTACTAAAAAGTAGTCGAGAGGACTCCTAAGTCACTAAGACCAATTCACAAACAGTCAGCAAATATGACTGCTGTCAGTTCATGGGGGGGAAACTGGGAAATACAGTGGAAACTGCTTATAGTGATCATTATAACCATTTTTTTCTTTTTTCATGTCTCAGGCAGATTACCATCTGATTGACATTTGTATATTGATTGATTTGTGATTTTATTTTTTTGCCCAGGTCCCTTCGGGGGCTCCTCATTCAGAAGCTCTGTGTATAGTACTCTTAGTGACTAGATAACGTGCTTTGTGAATACGGGCCATGAACTTTCCACTTCTCTGTTTAATTATATATTTCCAATTTCAGCGTTACTTTCAAAAAGCCTTGTTTTGAAATTGAACAAAAACTGTTCTTAAATTAATAATAATAAAAAAAAACTAATTATGAAATTAATTTAAAAAATTACAAACTGATACTGTAACCAATAGGAAATTCGTTGTTTATCAATTGCATGGGCAATACCTATAAATATATAAACATATCATCTGTCATTTTTTTATCGTGATATATGCATTTTAGTTCATAATCTCACACTATTTTACGAACATAATTTCTTTGAAGTGTGTTGTGATATGCATAACTTTTCTACGGCCAAATACGTCCTATCAGGAAGTGAGAGAACTTCTAGCTGACAGTAAGTAATGTTTCTATGGAAACCATAAAAAATAGATTTTCAAAACAGCTTGTTACCTTAACACAGACAAATGAAAATGCTTTCTTTTCTCTTCAATCCTGAGGCATAAATAAAAAATATATGGTAATTTTATTTAATATCGTTTTTATTATGTATCATTTTCTTGTGATGGAGTATATCTAAAGGCAACAAATCAGAATTTACAACAGTCTCTCCTCCTCCCTTGTGGCTGAATTTATGGTAGGTGGAGATTCTCCGCAAACGACTCCATAAAGATATCCTCCACAACCCTGTGGTCATGCTCAACTTTTGCCCCGACCTCACGACTGTGACCTCTGATTTGAGGAGGGTACAGGGGGAGTTCATCTTCCTGATTGACCGCAGCGGCAGCATGAGTGGGATGAATATCAGCCGTGTGAGGGTAAGGATATGGGGATTACGACTCTCTTTTTTATGCTTGTTGGAGATTTTTCAAGCCTATTGAAGAGGCAGCGTAAGTTCAAGTCAAGGTTGTTACAATTGTATGCCATGAACATGAACAATGACCAAATTTGGAGAGATGAAAATAAAGAAAATCCCATATATGGTCACAGTGGTGTTGTTTCCTGCTGACACAAACTGAAAGCACAGAATATGAACTTATCTTAATCAACCAATACACTTGCTTTTTTTCACTAGAGTTGTCAGTGTTGCTAGTTTGGTCTTGGTGCATAAGCTGATGCTGATTATGGAATGACACCCCTTCTCTGGCACTGATGAAAGCATTTTCACACCATGAGACCTAGAAGCGGAGTCCAAATTTACGATGCACATATGCTTAATGGCTTAGGGTGGCTAAGAGTGGATTTCTCTGGTACATGGATATCATTTAGAAATTTTGGGTTATATATGTTACATATATATATTAATTCTTCTACCTTAAGGAATTAACAGATAAATGGTTACATGCTAATAATTTGTAAAACTCAGAGAAAGAAATGCAGATATTCTGGACACCTGTATTGTTGTGCGTTATTGTTAATGCTTTTCCATCCTGGCACAATACTGATGACTAGCCAGTAATTATGACTGAATTGCACAACAAGGTGCCAAGTACTTTGGAGAAAGTACAATTCAATTTCCTTAAGAACAGTGTGCATTTTGCAATGTGCTTAGTGCTTTTCTCAGAACTCTTGGACTACTGCCAGTGGGTGGTCTGCTTCATTCCAGAGACTCGTTTTTCATCAACAGTCAAATTAGATGCCTTTTGTCTTCTTGTTAAGAGGGGAATTATAAAACTGCAGCACAGGGCTTCTCAAACTTTTTGATCGAATTAAAGTGCCACATGAGATTTTTGTTCAAAGACCATTTTCAATTACAAAATAGCATTTTGTGAACATTCATTTTTGATTTATTTTTTTACTTAAATTATTGCTAATTATTATGGCTTTCGATATTAGACATCAATAAATAATAATAATTGGAACTTAATGTAAAGACTGGTATAACATTAGCTGCTTGTTTCCACTCTGTTATGGGAGGAATTAGGATGAGTGATGTGTGTGAAATGTTTGGTGGATATACATTGTGTTTTTGTACTTCAAACCATGTTAAGCGTTTTTTTACGTTAACCATATTGATCTATGAGGTGCATTATCGATTGGGTCTGGATTAACTCGCGGATACGTTCACATCCGAACCACGGTCTGCATTTCGAGAACCCCTGCCCTAGGGCTTAGAACATGGTATATTATGAACATTTGTGAAGGAAAATTAAAGGGAATAATGAAAAGCGATAAATTAAGCCTATATAGTACTGTATACATTTCTATTCAGTCATCAGTGTGTTGCTGCATGGGACAAGTTTTATTCTCATAAATTATTTTAATATTAAATAATCATTGTTGTATATAATTACATATTGCTAAGAAAGGGTCAGAAGTTGTGTACCCTTCAGTTATAAATGTGACATGAACATTGTGTAAACATTAACAAGGTAAGACTTGAAGATGATGGTTCACAACTTGGTAGATCTTCAGACAGATCTCCAATCAAGGGGCTAACAGCAAAGAGCAAAATACAGACTTTCTACCATGTAAATCCAACTTAAGAGAGTGATAGTCTGGTTCCTGCTGCTGTCACCTTTCCCCAAAGTGCCCACTGATGTGCAAAATGATGACGTCAGAGTCACTCACTCTTGCATGGCGACCAACTTGAGGGTCACTCATAATTGTAATTAACCTGTCTGGTGTGCAGTGGGGCCAATATTCTCACTATACTCATCCGTCGCTAATGGGCACTAAAGTACCATAGCCCACAGGAGTCTGCCCAAAGGAGTCTGCCCACAGGAGTCTGCCCACAGGAGCCTGCCCACAGGAGTCTGCCCACAGGAGTCTGCCCACAGGAGTCTGCCCACAGGAGTCTGCCCACACTTCGTTCTGCGGTTTATCCGCCACTGGAGAGACAGACTCCACTGATGGCTCCTTAGCATGAGTCATATCTATTTTGGAGATTTCGTAGACATAAAAAGGTCTGGCACGATTGTGAGCAAGCACACGCTTGTTGCCTCGCCTTTTGAGTGAGGCATGTGTCTTTTGTCTTCCTTTAACCTTTTACTTGGAAGCCGGACTTTGCTTAACCGTGTTTGCTTAACCCTGTGCTCCTTTAGGACGCCATGGTGGTGATACTGAAGAGCCTCATTCCAGCCTGCTTATTCAACATCATAGGCTTTGGCTCCACATTCAAATCTCTGTTTCCATCTAGCCAAGTGTATGGTGAGGTAAGTAACTGCACCCTGGTGTCCATCACTGACATCTGCGTGTCTCCGAGCTACTGTATAAATAAGCGAAGGACTCAGGGCATTTCATTGCTAATACGACTGATTTCACATGAACATTTTTAATAGTCCTAGACTTGTTTTTCTTTGAAAGGTATTACATATTTAATGCCAATCTCAGGCTTGGTCAAGTTTTCCTTTGTAGTAATAATAAAAGTAATAACACAATAATAAAATAATAAAAATGTAAATCAAAATGTTCATTAAGATTAAAACAAGTTAAAATGAATGAATAGGCATAATATGTATCATTATGTATGTAATTTCTTTATTTCTGTGAAATATTTTTATATTTTTATATTTTCATGAGAAATAATTCAATAAGATGATTTTCAAGAAAGCTGTAGGCTTCTGCATACAGTCCAATCTCCCAAATTCAGTAGCTTGCAAAAGTATTCAGACCATTGAACAGTTCTGTCATTTTGCTGAATTCTGACATAATTCTGTGTTGTACGTTTATTTCCAAACACCAAAGCATAGTATTATAATGTTCATATGGTGTTGTTTATGTTACAAGCTATTCTTAGGAAAAATAAGCAAACTGCTGTGGTTTGCACGCTGGCACAGCGAGAAGTAGTGTGTCTTCACACCTCCACGGTTGGTGGAGGACGTTTGTGTAAGAGTTTAGTACTCATTTTGAGGAAGCTCTACGTTTACACAGGTGAAAATAAGCCGTCGTGCAACTGGTCTCGACCCGTGAATAATTACAACACCTGTTACACATTCTGGATGACCAACCAGTTACGGAATAATTATTCAGGTTGCGAATATGAAGGCTAGCTGTGAAAGTGAAGACTAAAGAACATACCAAAAAAGTTACAGATAAAGTAAAACAGATGCATAAAAAACTGAAGGGTGCAAAACCAAGTGAATCCAAGTGTTTGAATGGCGCAGTGGGCACTGGTGGTTCGGTTATCGGGAAGTGGAAGCCACATAAAATCATCCAGACGCTACTTAGAAAAGACTGTCCCTCAAAACTCAGAAGGTGAGAAGGCGATGTGGATCAGTGGGTTTGGTGCCTGTGATTGGGAAGCTGCTGGTTCAAATATTAAATGGAGGAATGATTGAATATGTATGCAGACAGCATATTTCAGTTTGTAGTGTAACCTTTTTTCGCATAAAGCAATATCATATTAAATTTAGTGTTTCGATGCTTCAAAATAAAATATGATGTAGTAGGTCAACAGTCTCGATATTTCCGCAAGGCGCTGTGCATTAATATGCGTATTCTGCATTCTAAATTTTTTTCTGCATAATGGTGCAGGAGACACTTGCCGTTGCCTGTGAACACATCAGGCAGATGCGAGCTGACATGGGCGGGACCAACATTCTGGCTCCTCTCAGCTGGATCCTCAGGCAGCCTCTGCACCGGGGTCACCCCCGTCTGCTTTTCCTGCTGACCGACGGCGCGGTCAGCAACACGGGGAGTGTCATGGAGCTGGTCCGCAGCCGTGCCCGATTCACCAGGTGTGCCGCGGCTTTCTCGCCATCCGCCATGCGCTAATCTCCACCTGAATCGTGACACGCTGCTATACTAACCCCGCTTCATGCTTTCATTTAATCCATATTTTTAAGTGTTATGCACATTCCGTTAAAAAATGTCTGTTCATCTGCATCAGTATGTCATTTAACCCGATTCGGCAGGCTTATTGTAAGGCACATTGTGCTTGTCGCTCTGCAGCAGACATAAGCACCTCGAGGGGCACCAGGAATAATAGGTAAAAGCTATTATGTGAGGCCAACATTTTTGAATAACAAAAGAAGCACTCAGGTTAAGATGGGGAAGAGGACCAGGATGATGCGGGGATTCAGCAGCGTAGTTTATGTGAATAGGGATGAATTCAACATGTCTGGAAAAATATTCCTCCACATGCTTTATGAGCCTGGGGACTGTGGACTATGTTTAAAACCTCAGTTGCTGCTGCCGCTGCAATGCACTCCGGCCAGAGTACAGTCAGTGCCCTAACAGGTTCATGCAGTAGAGTAGTTGATGGTTCCTTAAACTGAAGGTTTGGAGCTCAGGTCCACTGATGGCCCTCTGCTTTAGGGTATGGCTCAGTGGTTTAAGCCTTGGGAAGATCGAATGCCCTTCCATGGCAGTGTAGTTGCATGGGGTCCTTAAGAAAGGTCCTTAACACCTCAAAGTGCTCCAGGGGCACCGAGTAAATGGCTGTCCCTGCATTCGGATCCCAAGCTTTCCGGTCAAATGTACATATATATATGTGTGGTTATGTCTCAAATGGCAATGACATATAAAGCATCATTTCAGTGGTGAGGAAAGAAGGTGGTCTTCAGGGCAATGCTCGCATGGGTCTTCTGAGACAGCTGAAAGGTACCGACAGGCTTGCAGGGCTACAGCAAGGTCAACCAAGAAGGCTGAAGCTGATGCATGGGAGAAGTTTGGCGATACCGTAGAGACTGAAGCTGATGCATGGGAGAAGTTTGGCGATACCGTAGAGACTGAAGCTGATGCACGGGAGAAGTTTGGCGATACCGTAGAGACTGAAGCTGATGCACGGGAGAAGTTTGGCGATACCGTAGAGACTGAAGCTGATGCACGGGAGAAGGTTGGCGATACCGTAGAGACTGAAGCTGATGCATGGGAGAAGTTTGGCGATACCTTAGAGAAAGAATATCATGTGGCACCAAGAAAGCTGTTTCATGTTTCTGGAAGGGGAGACAAGTTATGTACCTCAGAAATTATGTACAGCTGAAGCTTTCTGGAGACATTATGATGTTGTTATGGTGGTCAAAGGTCTCCGTAGTACAATGGCTAGATAATGAGAGTGCTGGTTGAGGGTGACATGGTTGATGTGCCTTATAAATGGAAGGTAAAAGTACCTTTGGACTGATGAAGAAGATTGGCAATCCCTATTTTTAAAAAGCTCTTGTGCTACAAGAGCAAACTGCTCAAGATCCTTTGGAAAGCTAGCTCTTCTCCCTCCCACTGTTTTGTGAGGGTTACATAAGAACATAAGAAATTTACAAACGAGAGGAGGCCATTCGGCGCATCCGACTCTTTTGGGGAGAACTTAACTAATAGTTCAGAGTTGTTAAAATCTTATTTAGCTCTGATTTAAAGGAACCCAGGGTTTTAGCTTGCGCTACGCTAACAAGAAGACTATTCCATACTCTAACTACACGCTGTGTAAAGAAGTGCTTTCTCAAATTAATTTTAAAATGTTCTCCTGCTAATTTCCACGAGATCTAATATTTAAACTAATATTGAAATAGCCATTTGGCTGAACAGCATCCAGACCTGTTAGAATCTTATATCCTCTTGAGACCCAAGGAAAAAAGTATCCTTCAGTTTTAGGTTAATTGTGATTTTCTATGTCTTTGGAGGAAATAAGACAT